CTCTCATCTGTTCTCACCCAGAGAGAGGGGAGAACCCAGGTCCTCAGGCTCTGCATCCACGAAGGCAAACTGCTCGCGCCTTCCTCCTGCAGCTCCCTCCTGCAGCTCCTTCTGCGTCAGTGAACCCACTTCCATACAGACGGAGGAGAGAGGCTCTTCCTTCGGGTATGGAGTCTGACTCTGGGCATCAGAGTTTGGGGATCCTTGAGCCAAGCTGACCAACACTGGGTCCCAACACCACCTCTTCCTGGCAGGTGACCATGGACACAGAGATTCCCTGAACCCCATGTTCTTATCCATTTAATAGAAACATTGACATACCCAGCCCATATTTCTCCTGGGGCTGGAAGGGTGTTGAATTGAGATTGTGAAGAGCCATGTGTTTGTGACAGCCTGGTCAGTGAATGCTGGGGATCCTTTGAGCCGTGATGACGTTTGGGAGGAAGGCAGGAAGGGGAAAGTTGCTTGGGTTGGATGGGGAACCTTCTGCTACCCACTGAAAAAACCAAGGGCTGAACAAGCAGAAGAAAGAAGGGAGAGAGGGCAGCCAGTGGGAGGAACAGGGTGAACCAAGACGCAGAGGCTGACCTGTGAAGAGTGAGTTGGAAGGATGCGTAGGATGCCCAGCCTCCCAGAGATGGTTCAGTCTGTCCCCTGCCAAAGAAATGCCTCCATTTTTCCAGGACTTCCTCCCTCTCTCCCTCTTACTCCTTTCTCCTCCCTCCTTCTCCTCCCTTTCTTCTTTTTGCTTCTTTGTCCAAATACTTATTGGCACCTAGCATGTCCCAGCCACTGTGCTGGCCATGATGACCACATACCAGCCCCTGCTTGTACAGAGTTAAAGGCAAGTGGGAGAGGCTCAATTCATGAACAACACACTTTTCAGAGAGTCGATTACAGGGGGCTGAGTGCCCTGCAGGGCAAGTTCAGGGAGTGGGAGAATATGTAATAGAAAAGCTATCCTCTCTGTGGGTTGAGGGAACGGTGGATGGTTTAGAAGACATGGCCATGGCTCCTCCCATCCAGGGGTGGAGTTTATTTCTTTATCTCTTGCATCTGAACTTGGCCATGTGCCTTGCTCTGGCCAATGGACGCTAGCAAGTGCAACACAGGCAGAGGCTTAAGAAGCTCTTGTGTGTTGAGACTTGCCCTCTTTTGAGGCTCTTGGGATCCTGAGATGATAATGTGAGGAGCCCAGGCTGGCCTGCTGACCACGTGGAGGAGGACCGAGGCAACCCCAGCAACAGTGTGCCAACTGCCATGCATAGGGGGCCACTCTAGGGCACCTGGCCCGGCCAAGGTGCCCGCTCACTCTGGATACCTGAGAGAGCCCAAGGGAGACCAGCGCAAGACCCACCCAACCTGGCAACTATAGAGTCATAGGCTCATTACTGATTGTTGCCTTAAGTCATCACATTTTGGGGTGCTTTGTTACACAGCCAGGACTGACTGATACCATAGGAAAAGGATTTCCTAACGATGAAAGGTCCAAGCTACATCTGAACATCCAGGAGGAATTAACCAGGGAAAGACTAAGAGAGGGTAGAGAATTCTAAGCAAAGCAAGAAGAGCAAAAGTGGTGTGCAAAAGCGGTTTGGCAGGAGGCAGAGCAGCACTTTTATTTTTGAACACTTTATGGAACATGCACCCTGAAAATGCACCCACTGACAAACTATCACAGAGTGAATAAACGCTTGTACAATCAGATTCATATGGGAATCAAAATGATGAGCACCCCCAGAGGATCCCTTAAGGTCCCTTCCCATTCACCACCTCCCTCCAGAGCTGTCCACTATCCTGACTTCTGTCATAGAAAGAAGTGTTCTTTGAACTTAATTCTAAACTCCACAGATTGTTTCTGAACTTTTTTAAAAACTGAAGTGATTTATAATATTGTGTTTGTTTCCGGTACAGTGATTCAGTTTTTTCAGATCATATTCCATTACAGGTTATTATAAGGAAGTGGGTATAGTTCCCTGTGCCATAGAGTAAATCCTTGTTGCTTCTCTATTTTATGTATAGTCATTTGTAAGTCTTGATCCCATAGCCCTAATTCATCCTTCCCCTCCTCTCTCTCCCCTTTGGTAACCAGGAGTTTAGACTGTGAGTCTGTTTGGATATACATTCCTGTTATTTTTTAGATATCACACATAAATGACATCTTACAGTGTTTGTATTCTATAGAGCACTGCAGACGTGAGAAGGAGGCAGTTTTTCATGAAAAGTGTGATGGGAAGCCGGGGAGTGACCGGCCCTGATGCCATCCAAGATTGCTCTGGGGACTTGTGGGGAATACACATTGGGATGTGAGGTTGGGTGCAGCCGGGGAGCAACGAATCCAGCAGGAGGGGTGGAGGTTGTGGAAAGGAGAGATGCTGGCTGCCTGAATCAGGGCGCCCGGGGAGGTGGCAACAAGAAACTGTCATTCTGGTTATCTAGTGCAGCACAACACAACTTAGTGACTTAAGACAGCAACAGCGATGCTTTTTCTCCAACAAGGTTGGCGTTGACGCGGCTCTCTGCTCGGAGGTTCTCACTTAGTGAAGGTCTCTCATGCGGTTACTGGCAGATGGTATCCAGGGTAATCAAGAGTTCGGCTGGGCTGAAGGTGAGCATCTCTCTGTTCAAGATGGCTTTTTCACTCTGGTGCCTGATGGCTGGAGCAGCTGAGAGCTCTTGAGGTCTCTCTCTTTCTGTCTCTCCTCCTGGCTGTCCGTGACTAGCTTGGCTTCCTTACAGCATGGCAGTTTCAACTTAAAGGACACCTGGATCCCCCTAGAGTTAGTGTTCTAAGAGGCCAAGACAGGAACTGCAAGGCTTCTTATGACGCAGCCTCAGACGTCCTAGAACATTGCTTCTACCATATTCTCTTGGTCTAGCAAGGATTAAGTCCATCTTAGGTTTAAGGGAAGGGAAATTAGACTCTACCTCTCCATGTGGGAGCAGCCCACACATGCATGGAGGGAAGAGTTAATAGCAGCCATCGTTGGATGCTAGCAACCAAGAACAGATTAGGAAGATCAGATAAAATTAATAGGACTTATATCACTGGTTTAGATCAAGGCTTTTCCCCTTACTCCTTAGGACTCTACCTGTTAAAATCCATTTCAACCACATGAAACATACATCCTTCTCAGCAAAGCCACACTAAGGGTTCTTACAATGAAATGCTGCTCTTTGAGATGCTTAGGGGTCAGAAGTAGAAATGTCGCTCAGCATTTTACACAAACACAAGAAACCTCCCTGCAGAGAGCAATGGACAGAGTTTTTCTATTCTTGACCTAGCAGGAAAATCTCACCCTCAGTGGTCTTGTTTACCTAAGGCCAACAGTTAGCTGACAGATTTTATTTTCTTGGGCTCCAAAATCACTGTGGACAGTGACTGCAGCCATGAAATTAAACTACATTTGCTCCTTGGAAGGAAAGCTATGGCAAACCTAGACAGTGTATTAAAAAGCAGAGATATCACTTTGCCAACAAAAATCTGTGGTTTTTCCAGTAGTCACATACAGATGTGAGAGTTGGACCATAAAGAAGGCTGAGCACCAAAGAATTGATGCTTTCGAATTGTGGTGCTAAAGACAACTCTTGAAAGTCCCTTGGACTGCAAGGAGATCAAACCAGCCAATCCTAAAGAAAATCAATCCTGAATATTTACTGGAAGGACTGATGCTGAAGCTGAAGCTCCAATACTTTGGCCACCTGATGCAAAGAACTGACTCATTGGAAAAGACCTTGATGGGAAAAATTCAAGGCAGGAGGAGAAGGAGACAGAAGATGAGGTCGTTAGATGGCATCGCTGACTTAATGGACATGAATTTGAGCAGACTCTGGGAGATAGTGGAGGACAGGGAAGCCTGGTATGCTGCAGTCCATGGGGTTACAAAGAGTTGGGTGTGACTTAGTGACTTAAAAACAGCAAAAAACAGTTTGCTAAACTCATTTCCCAGTGAATCTCCAACATGAACCATTCCACTTAGTAACATGGGCCAGTTCAAAAGATTCTAAAGCTGCAGCCATAGAGAAGAAAGATCAAACTGGTTTCGGCACAGTATCTGGGGTTGAGTCCTTTCTCTACTAACCTATGACCTGTGTGACCTTGGGGATATTCCTGAATTTATTTCTGTCCTTAGTTTCCTCATCAATAAAGCTAGGATGATAATCAAACTTCCTTCAAAGGGTTGAGAGGATTAAATGAGATAATGCAAGACATCTGATAAATTCCCCGCTCAAGACTGATTTTGCAGTAAATATTGGCTGCACAGCAGGTAAGAGAGGCAATAAATTTGTTGAAATTGATTTGTCCATGCAGGGACAAGGGCCAATCCAGGGACTTTTATTTGCACTAACTTTTGGCTTTTAAACCACCCTTCCTGAGCTTATCATCAATGAAGTTTTCTTTTGATTTCAAAATGTTAAATTCCATATATTTCCCCAATGTTGTTGCAAGCACTTCATACAGGGTGTTTATTTTTCCTTACAGCATCCTGTCCCTCCCCGCATCATCACATTGCCTACATCTCACACTCTGGGAGAGAAAAAGTTTCATCATTTGCTTCACTGGAAAATGTATACTCCTTAAATAGTGTTCTAATGCCTGCAAAAAAAAAAAAAAAAAAAATTAGCAGAACTGTCTCCAGGGAAGCAGCCTTTGACTATTCAAACCTGGAAGAAATGAAGGGTTTTATTTGTGGAAATTGGGACATCCGGTGGTGTCTGCTTAGGGAAGCAAGATTTTTTTTTTATAACCACCCATCAACACCTCCACACTCCAAAAAGTAATAAAATCCCAGAGAATACATTAATATTTTATATTATGGGGAAACTCCCAAATTCAAGGACAGTTCATTTTATGCCATAGAAATGATCTGAATCTTACTAAAGCATCTCTTCTCTATATGCATATCTTTGATCTCACAGTAACTTTTTCAGGTAGCGACTCTGGGCCCCATTTTACAGATGAAACCCCCAAAGACCCAGAGAAGTTAAACACTTGCCCAAGGTCATACAGCCTGAGTCTTCACTGTCTGCCTACACACACATCTTCCATCCTTTTGCTTGAACCTGAATTTCTTCTGTTTTTCAGTGTCTCTCTCTGCTACCAGCCTTTGTATCACATCCTTCAATATTCCTGGAGGCAGGGAGCAATCAGGGAAAATTTAGCAGGAAAAAATGAGCAAATAGCAGACACTTAACATTCTGTGGGATCGTAGAGTCGGATAGGACTGAGTGACTAACACTTTGTTTCACTAGCATTCCTAAGGCATAGAAGGGACTCCTTTTTATGGCCATGCTGCATGGCATGTGGGATTTTAGTTCCCAGATGTTGTTGTTTAGTTGTTGAATTATATCAGACTCTTTTGCGACCCCATGGAGTATAGCCTGCCAGGCTCCTCTGTCCATGTTATTTCCAAGGCAAGAAACCTAGAGTGGGCTGCTATTTTCTTCTCCAGGGCATCTTCCTGACCCAGGGATCAAATCTGCGTCTCCAGCATCAGCAAGCAGATTCTTTACCACTGAGCCACTGGGAAGCCTCATAGTTTTCAGACCAGCTATCAAACCCGCATCTCCTGTGTTGAAAGTTTGGAATCCGAACCACCAGACTGCCAGGGAAGTCCCAGATCTTGACTTACTTGAGAAGCCCAGGACTCCAAGAGATTTTAGAGTTACGGCTTCACGGAGTTACATACAAACTTATTTATTCACACATGCAACTGAGCTTTACTGAGCACCTGCTATGTCCTCAGGATGGTATCGGGTTCTGGGAAGACAAAGATGAACTAGGTAGTCCTGTCTGCATAGCACTTCTGAGGAATGTGCAATAAAGTGGGTTTAAGAGCCATGTACAAGGACATGGACAGATGCTTCAAAATCCCTTAGCCAGCCTTCAGGTACTGTCAACACCACTATCTGAACAGCCGGAGAATCTGTCTCTGCAGGAGCTGCTCTGGTGTGGGTCACCACCATCTCACACCTGTGTCACTGAGACCAACAGGGCCTCCCCAAGCTGTGATCCCTTTCCACGCCACAGCAGAAGGCACAATCGGACTCCTTTTCATCCTGCAAAGGCTCCTCTCTGCCCTCAGAGCAACAAAGTCCAAACGCCTGTGCTGGCACACCTGCTCACAGGCAGATTCTTGGCTTTGTTTTCTGTTGGGTCCTCCTGCAGGGCCAGGCTAAAGGTGGGCATTGAACTGATATTTTTTAAATGAATAAATGAGGTCAGGAGGTGGGTGTCTACCCTACAGTGCAGCCTTATGACATCACAATGCAGACTTCTTGCCCAGAAGATGTTCTTGGTCTAGTTGAAGCATGGTTAGATAGAATTCACCACAATTTTTAAGCTGGACTTGACATGAAATTGCCAACAGTTTTATATGCTGATGAGTGCTCTGATTTTAATGGAGCTATGATTTTTCAAATGTTATATAAACATGACAAGGCATAGGTATGTGGGATTGATGTGGGTGGGCAGAGAGGGCAAAGTCTGGTTTTGGCTTACTCTGATTTTGGACAGGTTACTAAGCAGTTTTAAGCCTCATCTAAAAGTGATCCCTGCCCAGCTGGCCTAACAAGGTCATAGTGAAGACCAGATTAGCTCTGGCTGAGAAAGGACCCGCTAAACCCTAAAGAACTGTGCACAAAAACAGGGCCATGACAGTGAGCAGAGAAAATAACTTCCCGTGATAGGAAGCCCCCATCACACTCCTCTCCTGGAAGTGGGTGGGAGGGTCCACGGGGATTATCTGTGTTGTTTGTCTTTGCCAGTGGGGGTGTGGATGCCCACAGTCCTTCTGTGGGCAGGGATGTTGGGTTTGAGGCTCTCTGAGGTTCAGACCAGGGATTCTCTACAACTCCTTTCACTTGGCAGAAATCAGTTTTAAACAATGACAAGGATTCTAGCAGAATTGGGCAATTTCTAGAAAATTAGTTTCTGGAAAGTCCCGAGAAGCCAAGCCTTCAGGCAGAGTACTTTTCCTCCTCCGAAATGAAAGTGCAAAAGAAAAACAGTATTGTTAATTCATGCTAGAGGGCAAATAACCTAATCCCCCTTGGAAGTCACATGGCCCTCCCTCTCAGCCAGAACTCCAGACCCTGGAGGCTGCATGGACCCAAGAAGGAAGGGACCTTTCACAGCATGGTGCTTCCCTGGTACCCAGCAGCATGGGTTTTACCCATTGCCAACGCACAAACATTTTTTGATGGCCTCCCCAGAAGTTTACTTGGGCCCAAGACCTAGGGATCAACTGTTTGCCATTTGATCCCTGTTTTTTGAGTTCAAGTCAATAATAAAAGTAATTTCTTCATCCATTCACTCAGTATTGAGACCTGTCTCTAAGCCCAGCACTGTGCTAAGTGCTCAGATAGAGAAATTAATGAGACACGGCCCTTATTCTCAAGTCGTTCACAGCTAAAGTTGGAGGGAACCATCAAGGAAAGGTAATTATAATGCAACATGGAAACCCGACGGCAGGGTCCATGGGACACTGTGAAATTGTACTGAGTACTATGGGAATTGTATAAGACGGGCACTCAGCTGGGTCTAGAGGTTTTGGAGAAGGTTCTCTTATGGTAGACATGATAGAGCAGGGATAAACCAGATGAAGGTGAAGGGCAGGGGACAGGGAAGGGATAGGGCATTTCAGAGGGAGAAGAGGGAATCAAGGCCTGGAGGTGATTGGACATGACCTGAACTTGATCAAAAAAGTGGAAAATCAGGATGGATGGAAAAGGAGGTGGCATAAGGACCAATCAGGAAGGGCCAGAGTCCAGAGACCCTGAAAGGATGGGGGAGTGATATGGACACATGAGTTCAGGGACTGTTCTTATACCTTGTAGAGGCCAGCATCATGCTCAGTGCTGAGTCAGGTTCCCAGCCCACTTTAAAAAACCACCTCAAAGTTTCTTTCCACTTGGATGCAAAGAAAGAACTTCTTTGGGCTGGTGATCCAACATCTGGTACACAGTTGGTGCTCCATCAATGGTGACCGAGGCCCCTCCTCGCCAGGGAGTGGCTGCCGCCTGTACAATGGCCCCCAAAAGATGCGGTGTTCCCTTCACAGGAACAGACATCTTTTTATCATGAAAGATGGCCCATCCCTGCAGCTAACATCCACACGGCTTGTTTAAATCCCTTTGTTCCCTGAGATCTGGATGTCAAGGAAGGCTGATTCTCTTGGCTCTCAACTGGGGAAAGAAAATGACTTTTGGCCTAACTTGCCCATAACAATTATGAAAAATAAATTGAAGTGTAAAGACAGGCGATGGCTAGCAGATGGGGCAAAATGAGGTGAGGCCTGGCTTCTTGCACCCTGCCCTGCAGGACACAGACACAGACCCTGCTCCCTGGAGTGTGAAACGACCAGGCACTTTCAAATCAAATCAGGAAGAAGGCAGCACCAGCCTTGGCCTGGGGGCCTGTGCCTGGACACCCATGGGCTCCCGTTGGCAACACAGGGCCTCCGTTGGGCTTCTGGACCCTCAGATGAGGAGAGCCAGGGCAGGATGGGAACTCCTGGGAAGGGCCTCAAGAGGTTAAAAAAGAACTTATTGGTTTTCTGTCTGATTGTAAAAATATGTGCTCGTGGCAGGGAACTTGGCAAATGGAGAACAAGGAGAAAGAGAAAGCAAGCTAGAGCTGTGGACCCGGACAGTAGATTCTCATTCATCCTGCAGATAAAGTGCCCCCACGGGAAGGGCAGCACACCTGGGCAGCCACACTCAGTCCCTGGCTGTGCCCTGGAGCTGCCTCCACTGACCCCCTGCCCCCAAAGCTGGCTCCTTTCATGTTTTAGGCTCGGCTCCAATTCAGTCCTCGGAGACCTCCCTGACCCCTGTCTGCATCCCAGTTACTTAGCCTGGGTGGAATTTTTTTTTTTTTTCCTGGAATTCACTTCTGTTTGTAATTGTCTCATTTCCTTGTTTGTTGGCTGGCCACCATTCCCAGGAATCTACCTGAGGGCCCTGCCTCAAGGGCACAGGGTCTGTCCATCAGTGGGGGCTCCACTGTTATTTCTGAATTAGGGAGTAGCCCACCGAGGTTTCTAGTATTTCAACCACATGAATGTGGCAATGATGAACATGGCCCATATGTATAAATATTCACTGGGCCCTGCCTGAATTTTTTTCCTCTCTTGGAATATCTCATATATAAGCCATTCTCCTCCCCTTTCTTTCTCTGTGTCTGTTTGTTTTCTGGAAAGGGTCAGAGTACTGAGCTGGGGCAGGGACCTCACGTCCCTAACTCCTTCTTCAGCCTTTGGCAAATTCCAGGACTCTAATGCCTCTTTTTTCTTTTCTGTGTTTGAAAAGCCAATAAAGAATTCTGCCTAAGGTATGAGTTGTGAGCCCCAAATAAGATAAGATCCTGGAACTCTCAAGACTCAAAAGAAACAGTGAAGAAACACACACATACCCCACGGAAAGGTCCATACTCATTCTTTCCTTTTCAGTAAAGCCCCAGAGAGGGTCACTTGGAGACTGAGGTGCCCCAGACGCATGGAGTACCCCAGCTCCCCTTGTGTCGGCTGCTTCTCCCTCCTCCCTAGAATCTGGGGTCACCTCTGTATTGGATCCCCGAGGAACAGGTCCCCACTATCCAAACCCAGAAAAGAAAGCTGGAGGGAGAACCCCACGACTCCATCTGCACACTCGCTGGCCCCCTTCCCAGGCCCTGGCCGGTGCCCGAGTGTCCTAGGGGCGGGTGGCCCCCGCTTGGGGCGCCCCACTCTGTCGGGGGCTGCCTCCCCGAATTGAGCGGGGGCAGGGGGTCTGGGGTACAAGGGTGGGTGTGCCTGTCAGGGTCCTAGGTGGGACTGGGGTGGGGTGGGGGGAGGCGCTGGGAGTCAGGGTGGAGGGCGTATCAGGGACCCGCGGGGTGGCGTCACCCGACTCACCGCCCCCTGAGACATCACAATCTGGGGGCCGGGACCCCTCGCCTCATCACCAACCCTTTTGCAACCACACAATCCAAGCCACAAACATCATGGCTGCGCAGGAATGGGACTGGTTCCAGCGCGAGGAGCTCATCGGACAGATCAGCGACATCCGAGTCCAGAACCTGCAAGGTAACGCGCCCCCGCCTCCCCGGAGAGGGGCGCCGATTGGGGGAGCCCGGAGCCCCGGGAGCCGCTCCCCCACCCCCACCGACCGAGCTCCGACCCGCGCCGCCCCCGGCCCGGTCCTGTCCCCGTCCTGTCACTTACTGGGGGCCCTGGGGAAGGGGTGGCGGCGAGACACCCGCCCTCAAACCCCGGCATTGCCGCCCCCGGCCAGATGAACAGTGACCCGGGGGTAGGGTGGCACACGTGTGTGTGTGTGTGTGTGTGTGTGGTGGAGGGCATCCCATTTGCTTTGTGGAGGGGACGTCACGACTCCCGCTCCGGCCACAGCTGCGAGTTTGGAGAAGTTTGTACTTGGGCTCTTGGGGGTGGTGGCCCAGGTCAGGGAGGGGAGGAGAAAGTGCGTTTGCGTGCGTGCGTGTGTGTGAGTGTGTGTGTCTGTGTGTGTGTACGTTCGCACACAGTTCCTGAGTACCTCCAGGGCTAGGGGAATTGAATGGGGGGGCGGTGCCTCGAGGTGGACAGAGGAGGAGGTCAGAGGCGCGGATCCGTGGGGTCAAGAGGCCGCTTTGTTCGGGGAGCTGCCCCTCCCCTGCTCCCCGGGGCGGGCTGGGGGTGGGATAAGGGCAAGAGGCCCGCTCGGCGGCACGGGACGCTGGGACCTGTGTGTATCTTGGGGCAAGGTGAAAGAGAAGCTTGGGAGCCAGCAGGTCTGACCCGGGCTGGGGGTAGGGGGGTGTCTCCTGCCACAGATGAAGTGTCTTTATCTTCCCGAGGAGTCTGTCCATTGTGGAAACTTAGAAAGCAGAAACATATTTAAAGGAAAAACTTCACCCACAATCTCCTGGTAACCCATGCATCCACCACACATCCAAAGAAAGCTGCTTTTCATGGAGGTGTACTTCCAGCCTCTCTTTTCTTATGTGGACTCTGCAGAACTAGACCACGTTCCACCTCTGACCTCTCTTCACCCATATAGACCCCGGCAGGGAAGTTTAGCAGCTTCGTCTTCAGGCTTGGATTTCTAGAGATTCCATGGTTAGGTGGTGACTCAGAGAGAGCTGGGAGGCCTGGACAGAGAGGTGATGGGGTGGGGTGGTGGGTCCCCCCTCTCATTCCAAGTGGGCAGGGTGCAGTCTTGAAGGGGGTGACCAGGTAGTCAAGTTTAAACATTACACCTGGTAGGATATTTCTTGCGAGCCCACATGGTCTGCTCCACCCCTAGGCTGGGCAGGGACCGTGCAGGCAGAGGTGACTTGAAGTGGGGAGGAAGGGAGGAGCCCTGTGCCCTGGACTCTGTAAACCGAGCTTGTTCTGGGCTCCCCTCAACCTTTTCTGCTGTGATTTGTGTAAAACACGGAGGACTGAGCTGGAGATATTGAAAATGATCTTTTTTGATAAGTCTCACATCTGGGTCCTGTTGCCTGAGAACAGACATCCTGTTTTGGGGGTGGGTGTTAGTATCTTTTGCTGAGATGGCATCTAGTTTGGGCTGTCAGGGTGTGTGTGTGTGAGAGGCAATCAGTGGGTGTTTAATAAGCACATATTAACCAAATCTTGGTGCAACAGTTCCCTGCACCCCTCAACTCTCAATGTGAACGATATCAACTTGTGAAGGGATGTTCAACAATATGAGCAGCTAGTTACACCTGGAACAGGAGAGAGGGCTTCACTGAATGGGGGCAATTTGAAATGGGTCTTGAGGGTTGAGTAGGAGCTCACCGAGTGGGCTCTTCTCTCTCAGCTCCCAGTGATCTGCCCTCACTTCTACGCAATTGCCAATTACAGTGTGAGCGTCAATGGGCTTTGCTATTTTAAAAAAAGACTTTTAACACTGTGTGTATTATTTATGTTTGTGTCTGTGTACATAAAATGTGCATTAATTTCAAGGACAAGCCCAACATATTTTTATGGGTGGATATACACGTGTAACCATTACTAAGGTCGTGATGTAGAAATTTTCTAGTACCCGGTTGGATGCTTTGTCTCCCCACCATCCCTACCTCAACAAAGCAGCTACTATTTTAATCTTTATTGCTATAGTTTTGCCTCTAGAATTTCTTACAAAATTGAACAGTACAGTGTATGTACTCTTTTGAAATGGCCTTTTTTTTTTGGTTTTGCATTATATTGGTGCTTGTATCACATTCTTGCTTGTATCAGTAGTTCCTTTTTTAAAGTTTTTTAAAAAACTACTTCATTGAAGTATGATTTACATATTATAAAATTCAACCTACATTTATAATTCAGTGATTTGTAGCAAATCTGCAGGCTTGTGCAAACATTTTAACAATGAAAGCTGGGGAACCCTTTCATTACCTGCTAAAGGTCCCCAGTACCCAGCATCTCGCTGTGTCAGTCACGCTCCCAGCCCTAGATCAGACAGAACGTACTTCGCTGTTTTTGCCAAGGACTCATCCACTGTATGGATGTACCGCAGTTTGTTGACGTGTTCTTCAGTGAGGCCCCTTTGGGTTGTTTGCAGTTCAGGCCGTCCTGGAGGGCTGGAGCTGTCAGTCCTGGGGGGCGCTGTGGAGGTGCTGGCCGATAGCTGTGCGGCTCTGCCCAGCATCTCTGAGAAGAGGCTGGGAGAGGAGGTGGGGACAGGAATCTGTCTTGTCTCTCCCCGTCTTTCCCTTGGCGTCCCCATCTCTTGAGGATGCTAAATGGCCATTTTCTCTCCTCGTCTCTCTGGTCCTCAGGAAGTCCAGCCAAAGGGCCAGGTCTGGAAGGCAGCCTTCACCGAGCTTAGAGCATCTGCCCAAACCAGCTGGTGGGTGTCGGCTGGCCCTGGACGTGTCTGGGTGGACATGTAGGCTGTGGGCGGGGCCCTTGATCATCTGAACTCGGTACTGGTCAAGGGAGGCAGGAGTCCAGGCAGAAGGGTTGTTTTCCAAACTCTGTGCTTCCTTCGAGCACAGGTGGGCAGCAGTTGTCGTGGTGATGGGATGCTGGGTACAGTGGCATTTCACAGATCTGCGTCACGGGGACTGAGGCGGATCCTCAGCCTCCAACAAGCTTTTCTCTATGGCCCCGAACTGTGGAATTCTGGAATCCATGCAAATATGATTGTACTGTCACCAGACCATCCCCCCTGGAATGCTGGAATGAAGACCTCCCGACCTGTCTCTGGAGGTCGGGGAGAGCAGGGCAGGAAGCATGGCCTCCTTCAGGAGGGCTGTGACGACTCCCTGTATCTGACACGTGAAGTCCTTTCAATGTGCTCACATCCATGGGCTCCTAAAAGTGTCTGCAGATGAAGGACTCTCTAGCCGAGAGCGCAGAGGTCCATCTGGGCGAGAAGCTGGCTGTGTCATCCCCCCAGGGTCCCTTGCAAGGAAACGGGGGCGGCCCAAGCTGTTGACCTTTTCAGAGGGGAGAACGTGGAATTGCAGGATGTGGGCAGCTGCCGCCTGGTGGCCCCCACTTCCTGGGAGCTGTGTGGTGGGGAGTGGAGGCTGGAGGCAGCCAGTTCAGGTCTGCGTCTTAGTTCTCAGTCCGGCTTTGGGCAGCCGAAGGGTGGGTGCCCTTCCGATGCCAAGGCTGCCCTGACTGCCTTCCTCTTGGACTTGGCCTCAGGGTCCAGCTAAATGCTGCACCAGTTCTGGGGTCCCCTGACTGTTGGTCCAAAGCTGGTGTCAGGCCAGGACTTGGAAGATGCCCCCGTTTATATAGGGAGCCTCCACCACCCCCAAGATTCACAGCCCTTTTCCTGTTGAGTTTAGCAAACATGTGCCAAGCGAATCACATCATGCAGACACCAGGGAGCGCGGAGTTGGTTCCTGTCCCTGCTTTGAAGGAGCGTAACACCATCATGGCTCTCAGCCAGACTGGGACTCCAGTTTTCTGCTTCTGGCAGCAAAGTCATCCGTTCAGTGCAGGACTGTCTCCTGTTGCACGGGTGCCTGTTGGGTCTAATGCTATGAAGCTTGACCTCATTGTTCCTGAGCGACCTGGCTAAGACCTGGCACCTAGAGTTGGATGTGGATGGAGTTAGGTAGGACTGGGCTTCCTAAGGGGCTCAGAGATGAAGAATCCACCTGCCAATGCAGGAGACGTGAGAGTTTCGGGTTCCATCCCTGGATTGGGAAGATCTGCTGGAGTAGGAAATGGCACACTCCAGTATCCTCGCCTGGAAAAATCCCATGGACAGAGCAGTCAGGCAGGCTACAGCCCATGGGGTTGCAAAGAGTCGGGCACGACTGAGCACATACGCAATGCAGCAGCGAGCAGACATAAGCCTTCCTCACTGCATCTCTAGGGGAGCCTGCTAGGAAGAGGGGTCCAGCACTGCCAATGGGGCCCTGCTAACTGGGGTTCCCTAAGTAGCATCCCCGCCTTTGTTTCAGCGTCTCCCTCAGCCAGGATTTATTGGAGAGCAGTATCACCCAGGGTTAGCAAAATAAACTGTGTCTCGGGGCACTTGGAATTGACTACCAAACAGAGATAGTGACAGTTCACTCAACTGTGAGCAGCCTGCGTGCCAGGCAAGGCACAAACCACTCTTTAGAACTCTTTCCACAGGACTTGGAGGCTGCTCGAGATGCAGAGAGCTAGCATGACTTGCCTCCAAGGTCATGGGCTTGTAAGTGGGGCTGAGATTTGAACGCAGGTCAGACTAAGCCACGTTTCCCATCTCAGTGGCTCTGTAAACCTTGGTCAAAGGCCGCCTGGGTGAAGGAGCTAGGAGCCTCAGGGCTGGGAGCCGGGAGGGCCTCTGGGGGGAGTTGGCACTAAAACCAGACCTTGAGTGTGCATACTAAGTCGTTTCAGTCGTGTCCGACTCTTTGTGACCCTATGGACTGTAGTCCACCAGGCTCCTCTGTCCATGGGATTCTCCAGGCAAGAGTACTGCAGGGCATCGCCAGACCCTCCTCCAGGCAATCTTTCCAACCCAGAGACTGAACCCATGTCTCTTAAGTCTCCTGCATTGGCAAGTGGGTTTTTTACCACTGGTGCCACCTGAGACCCCAGACCTTGAGGGCAGAGCAGTAACTTGATGGCAC